AAAGCAGACATGGAATTCAGGCACTTCAATTTCTCAGAAAGATTCATTATACTTACAGAAAAAGATTCAGCCCGGAATGGTGAAGTATCCCTTCTGACTGTATAGCGGCCACTGACAAGATCCATAGCATCCTGAACAAATTTGAGACTTATTTTAAGCAACTATAAACAACTAGACGTCACTCGCCTTCATGCAGATGAGTGATACTCAATATTTGAGAAAGAGGAGCATATTACCTGCCGAATGCCATCCTGAAAGTTATTCAAATAGTATCTTGAAAGAGCACTCATCCCATCTTTGATTATTCCTCCAAATGTCTGCTTCCCGTATCTGCGGTAAAATGGGTCCAAAATATGATTTGAAAAAAGGATAAGTACATGTTGGCCGTGAATCAAGTCATATTTTAGGTTGAATTTACCTAACCAGGTCCCCTTTCAGGGCATAAGTGCCAGCATACTCGAGGCTTATCTCATCACCTTGCTCAGCCCACACTGAAGCAACAGAGTTCAGAGTAAGGATAAAATTTCATTACAGACATCATCTGATCATTTATGAAAGATGGGATACATGACACGAAGAATTTCATACATGCTCTAAATGTTTGATAATCTTCAGCAAACATGGAAATGCTTTCAGAAGAATCCAGCAATCCAGTTCTCTGTAACTGTGCATCTAGAGACTTCTGAGCCAAGTAACTCTACAAAATAAAGAAGTAAATTGTTTATGTTAAATCTCAGTTTACTCATGCTATGGCATATGGAATATAATATCAGCACAAAATATTATAAGATCCATTGCACAACATAATTCTCTTAGAAACCTGAGTAACATTTGTTCTATCAAGGCAATCAATGCAGTTTGTTCTGACAATTCCTTTCTGCTCCTCCAGTATGTTGCCCTTCGCATCTACGAGGAAGTATCTGCTCGGCTGGAGCAGTTTTGATTAAAAACAGTATTACATATAGCCAGCATACCTAGACTTTGGCATACTTAATTCAATCAGATATTATGTTTTCATTACCCTTGCTTTTCAAATTGCTCCGAGATCTGCTCGTATAGAAACTTTAGGTTTTCAAAGTTTGAGTTACCACATACATGATGAAAGTCAAATGAAACGTATCTGCAACAAAAACACAAAGTAGTAACTATTAAGTTGAGAACAAAATCACATTTCTGACATTTTTCCCAATGCCAACCAATGGAACTGACTCATTATAAGCAACATCGAAAACAAAAAAGGAATCTACTTGAAGTGGGAAAGGATTCAGTTGGGGCCAGCATAATTACATACATAAGTATGCAAATTGTTACCTCACATTTGGTAGATTTTTCATTTCAGCAGAAAATGCCATGCTTAATTGACCTTCATCACCATGCTACAAATAACAATAAAAGGAAAAATTATATTAATTGGAAATCCATGAAACAACATCTACTTTACATACATGTTAAATTTAATTAAAAAAAAACAAAAAAACTTGTGTAGCACAAGCAATCAGCTGGGAAGAATTATAAACATCATTGCTTATTTCGCACATCCCAGAGCCACAATGGTGACTCTGTTGTACAAACACAATTTGAAGGAAAAAATTGCAAACTTTTCAGCCTTAACATGGAAGGTGAATCAGTGTACAGAGATAGAAACCCTTACTTTATCAGTTAGGTCTACTGCCATTGTCTCTCCGTATCTTTGGGAAAGATAAAAAAAATGACGCTCCACAACATTTGACTGCAAGTTGATAGGAAAATTCAGAACACAACTCTAACAAGTGGTATGTACCACGAAGCCAAGAAAATAGTAAAAAGGGATGGAGTTGCATCTCTGGCAAGTGGCAACAAATTACCGTCTGCTCATGATCAATAATTCTAAGTTGTGGTTTATAGCTCAAGTCAACTATTTGCTCCCAAAGAAGCGGTATTGAACCTCGAATCTGAAAAACATATCAAAAGTATTATGGAGGATTTTTATTGAGTAAAAAGGAATAGATAAATAAATCTTCTCGTATCAAATTATGACAAAACTGCCAGTCTACTATCAGTCTTAAAGGTTAATCGTGAAACACTGTGTGCAAGTTTAGAAAGTATTGTAACGAAAATGTTCTCTAAATGTATAAAAGTTGGCAAAACCAATCTGTCCTTGTTAAACTGTACAAAAGTTTCATTTATATGAGGGCCAGCCCTAAACCTCAAAAAAGAATGAAAAAGTTCTACCATTATGATATTTCTCACACCAAGGAGCGCAGAACATAATTTTCTCAAAAGTTTAATCCTCAACCAACTTAGTTGATCATGTTACAATGACACCAAGATATAAGCTAATGTCCTATTTAGGCAAAGACATAATAGTAACTAAACATATTCTGATACAATAATACCTCAGCACACATTTCTTTTCGGAACCTCCATATGAGAATTACCTGCAATAATGAGGACTGGAAACCTTCAATCTCCACCAACTGCTCAGTTTCAATAAAATTCGCTACATCTCCATCAAGATTCGCTCCTCTTCTCCACATTCTTGTCCCTAAGTGATCACATTACAGTGTTTCATGTTTAGGTCATTCAAAATATGCCGATACAGACACAAAAGTGATTACAAGAATCAATCATCTCTCTAAGATTGTACCTAGACGTCGGGTACACCTCCTTGAGACTATCGTAAGTGTGGCAGGTGAGCCTTTTAGCTTTAGCTCTGCAGTCTGGAAGCTTAAATGTAGGTTAAGGAACACCATAAAATTCCCCAGTTGAATATATTACTCACATAATTTCAGAATCTCCATCTTCCTTACATGTGCACACATATGCATGCCCACATACAGGGAGAGGGGGAGAGAGGGAGAGGGAGAGGGAGAGGGAGGGGGAGAGAGAGAGAGAGAGAGAGAGAGAGAGAGTCATAGACATAAGCAATCAGTAAATTCAGGATATTTCCTTGTAGTAGAGGAATAATGAACCCATCAAGCTGCCATGAGAAAATTAATGTGCATTAGCAATAAAATATGTGTGCGAATAACTAACAACTTTTGGAAATGCTTTTCTTCCTTAAAGATATACATAAAGTGGCTTAGGCAAGCAAGAAAATACTCCAAATTGTTTAACTACGTATGCCCTAGAAGATGGAAAGTCTAACCTTATACTCAATCAGTTCGTCCAAAAGATTTCTGTTCCAAACAAATCGAGGGTCAGCCTGAAAACACAAATAAAATTAAAAACTACCAAGCAATTACTAGTTATAGATCGTAAAGAGTAAAGCAAACATTTGAAAGGGGATAAAATGACATTAAAAGAAAAGACTGATGAACATCCATATGATCTGGTGGGTCAGTTGACTCGATACTCATGCTTTCTAGTGCCGACAGAAAATCCTTTGGATAAAGGGGAAGGGGGGATCACTTGACAATGAAAAAATTGCACAAAGGATGGCATGTCTTCAAGGATAAGAACTGAGAAGGCATCTTTATTGAGCTGAAACTTTTTAGCTTGAGAACAAAAGATAAGCATAATACCCCCAAAAAAAAAGTAGGCAAATCCTTAGGGTGGTGTTCCTTTCTTTTCCCTATTAACCCTCTTACTTGGAAGGAGTTGAGGATAAACTAAACCCCGGGACAATATGCTTATATGCACCTGACCGATAAACCCAAAAATCCAAGTCTCCAACTAACCTGCTTCCATATTGGTTTGGCCATCCATCCTTCAACTAACTTACATCGTCTTTGAAAGCTGGTAGAAATGATAAAATACATATAATTAGAATAAACTAACACAACACTTGACCAAATAGAAACATAAATTGACATGAGACAACTCGGAACCTTAACAGATACAAAACTTTTCAACTGTGGCTGAGTTCAAGGTATAAGAATTTACTTGAGTGTTATATCAGTCTCGTACGAGAAGTACAACCCCGGAGTTGATTGGACTGTTTTCAAAAGAGCCATGAAGTAAGCCTCGTCTTTTTTCTGCACAAACACATCACAATCTTTCAGGCAAAGAGTCAAACTTTAAAAATCCCAACTCACTCCTCACATTCGCTTCGTACACTCATCAAAATGAATCAAAAACCTTACCTCCTGAGCAGTTGAATTCTTCAAACCCTCATTGCAGGACAGAAACCTCATCGAGTTTACTCTGTAAACAGGAAAGCCGAGATAATTCCCGACTTCCGTCCGCGAAGTTATTACAAGCACATAATTTCCTGCACCAAACACATCAATTCAACAAACAAACACCATATCCTGGAAATTTAGCCATTCAAAACACAAATAGATACAATTATAGCAAAAAAAGTTTCACATTTTCGATTCGATATACTCAAAAGCAAGTAAAAGAAAGCAATTCACTTACCTGCAAGCAATCTGATCGTTCCCGCCACTCCGTATATCGTCGAGGTTTTCGAAGGACTTACAGAAGAAGAAGAATCGCCTAGCAATCAGAAACGAGTATTGATTGAGCTACATAAAATCAGCGAAAAAAATGAAATTCGCCCGAAAAAGCGGAAGATTATGTACCGTTGAGCGGCTCAATGATGCCGTCGCGGTGGTCGATGGAGAATCCTCGATCCGGAGCCGCGACCGATTTGATCACGAACTGGTCCTGAAACTCCTGCAATTCCAGCTCCTCGTAGAGCTTGAAATTTCCGCCGGAGCAAGATCCACCGCCGTCCATTTCCGCCGTGTTTGATCGGAGAAGAAAATGATGGTTTATCAATTTGGAAAATTTCTTTAAGTTCCCAACGACTCCTCCCTCTGTTTTCAGGCTTTCAGCTGATAACCGGTGTTGAGGACATAAAATGACGTTATCACCCCTAATAATTTGTGATTATTCTAATTATTGCCCGCTGGCGGCGAAGAAAGGGGCAGCTGTGATGATTGCGTACCTGATATTGTACCGTAATAAGCTACAGCCGCATTGTTCGTCGCGTGACCGAAGTGAACACACGTGGCGACGTTTGGGATGGCGTCGGTGGCGACGAGGAGTCTGTGCGCTGAAAACGAAAGATGGACGCTTGGATTGTGTCAACAGAAAACAGTTGGAATTGCGTACACGTATTTTGGGTTGTGCTCAGTAACTAACTTCTAGAATTTTCTGTTGGTTGAAACTTGGAAGTAGATAAATGTGGGTTAAATCAATTGGTTGGGGTAGAATTCCCTTGTAACCGAATTCAAATCTCCTTTCTGATAAATTAAAATAGTATAAGAATGCTTTCATTTTTGACGGAGCATGAGGTATAGCACACCCTGAAGGGTAGGACTGATACCTAGTAGAGCCCAAAAAGGTTAAAGGCATTTCAGTTCATCTTTGGTTACCGTCAAATAGCATACGTCCTCTCAAAACTTTCAATCAACAAATCATCTGTATTTTTGTCACTTCGTACCTCAAACTCAAGATCAGAGAGCATATCTGACTTGAAATTGTACCAACAATTGAATGTCACCTTGCAAAAAGTAGGAAAAAACCAATGAAGATGACAGACAGCTTATCATTCCCACTCAATCAAATTTCCCTTCACCCAACTTTATTTGCTCAAAGTTTGAGAATTACAAGCCTAAATCTAAGCACGACAGCCTAAAGTTTTGAATCCAGTCCATCACAGCTCACGGTCCACCCGGTGATTCGTTGTGCTTCTACCATTTAAGACCCAAATTCCATTATTTGTTCACAAATTATCTTTTTTACATAACTTGTATAAAACTAATTAATTTCAGCAATTTAACATAAAATCAGAGCTACTTTAATTAGATAAAAAGAAATACAAAATATGTAACCCAACTTATCTTTTGCTAGTTCTCAAGCAAAACATTAAATTGTGCAACAAAGTAGGAGGAGTTGCGTCTCTTGAGGGTTTACCAATTACGCTACCCCCAAACGCTTTATGTGAACATTTCAACTTCACCACCTCTAATTTAGTTGAACATGCCTTACGTGAGGACCAATTCTTTCTTCAAGCTAAGGGAATATGTTAACAAGGATTTTATACATAGCTCTATAATACCATTTACCCCATCTCTTGCACAACACAAGTGACCCAATCGCAACCGCAAAGCCAGACGCAAATCCGATTTCGACACTGATAAGATCTCAGTCAATCTCATGTCTAGAATTTGGATGGTTTCCATTTACTTGTGGGGGTGACAATCCTGCCTTCTTATCCATCGTTAGCGGAGGCCCCATAATCCTTTATTACCCGTAAATGATTCTTTTGGAAATGTTGAAATTTGAGTACCAGCTGTGATCTTGCCAACAAGTTGATTATTAATTTGAAAGATTCAAGAATGCAAGGAAATTAAGCTTTGCCAACTGCGGTGGAATTTCCCCGCTCAGCTTGTTCTGTGAGAGGTCTAACAACTCCAGTTGATGCATGTTGCCAAATGACGATGGGATTTTGCTTGTGAAAGAATAGTAAGACAAGTTAAGGAAGTATAGTGACTTAAACTCTCCCATTTCCTTAAGTATTGGTCCACTGAAATTGTTGCATGGGAAATCAATCAAGGTCAAGATAGTTAGAATCTTAACCATGTCCATCCTTGAGTCTTTTCTGGTAAATGTTATACCATCCTCAAAAGAAAAATTTTAGGTGTTTGGCCTTGCCAAGGGAATCATCTTCATTAGCCCTCATTGGCAGCCATGTTGCCAAAGATCTTCTCGGTATTTCACCACTCAAATTGTTGTCAGCTAGGTCTATAATTTGAAGCATTGGCCAGGTGCCATTGGTTTTGGGACATGCAATGCATCCATAAAATTTGTTGGACCGCAAAAGAAGAACATGCAAAGTGGATATGTTCAATAACAAACAAGGAAAGGCATCTTTCATTTGATTGTTTCCAAGGTTTAAAAACTGTAATGATCTGTAGTTGGCTAGAGATTTTGGAAACTGACCTTTAATCCGATTTTCCCCAAGGTCTAAAGTGTGCAATCCACATGATTCTAAAAACTCAAAATTTGAAATAGTTCTGGTGAGGTTGTTTCTCCTTAAATTAAGTACTCCTAGACCCTTTTTTTTTTGTAAACAAACATCGAGGAACCATACCACTCAAGGAATTATTGGACAGATCAATAAGCTCATGACCTCCCTTGCATATTGATGCTGGAATGATGCACGCAAGTTATTGTTTGAAAGAGATAAGAACGAAGTGTCCAGATTAAAGAAATCACCTATGTCAGCTGGAATACTACAACAGAAATGATTGCTGGAGTAATCTAGATAAATGGCATTTGGTGAGGTATAAGGGATTTCTCCTTGGAGTTGGTTTGAATGAAGGTCAAGGATAATGACATTAGACGTAGTGAAATGAGCTTCTAGAGTTACCAAGGAGTTACAAGAAAGATTTAGGGAAAGATATCTGAAACTCCAAATCCAATTGGGTATCTCACCTTGAATATGATTCTCCGAAAGGTCCAACTCAGATAATTCAGATTGGTTTATCAGGAAACCTGGTATTTCTCTCAACTTGTTAGAAGCCAAATGCAGTGTCATAATTTGAGGAAATGAGAAGTACGAGGAATTGGTACCATTATACAAAATCAGCAAGCTATTGTACTAAAGATCAATGAAGGTCAGATTTTTCAGATGCTGAGGACCATTGAAAGGAAAGTTACTAAAATTGTTTGAAGAAAGAGAGAGTTCTCCAAACCCTCCAAAATTAAAGATAGACGCAGGAATTGGACCTTCCAAATTATTAAAACTCAAATCAAGGTTAACTAAGTTGGAATAGGCGTTAGAAAACTCACTGAGATGACCAGAGAATCGATTGTGGGAAAGTACTAGTTCCACCAACAAGGGAAGAGAAAAGAGAGAGGATGGGATTGGACCATTGAAACTGTAGTTTACAAGATCAATTGTTTCCAAAACCTTGAGGTTGCCTATAGACTCCGGCAATAACCCTGAAAATTTTGTGAAACCTAGAACCAAGGACCGAAGAGATCGATTGTTTGGAAATTCTGGCAAGGAACCATGAAGTTCTTCATTAAATGAAAGGTCAATAATTTTCAGAGTAGGTACCTGAAGGATCTCTTTTGGAAATGTTCCTTGCAACGAACAACTACTGAGATGTAAGAAAGCCAGCTTTGAAAAATTGGCAAAGAACCCTAGAACTGGAGAACTGGAGCACAGATATTGTTACCACCCCATCTGAACACCCTCATGTTTGAAAAGTTGGCAAAGAATCCTGGAATTGGACCCGAGATCTCATTACGATCCAATTGAATCACGGATAGAGACTGTAGCTTGGTGAGGGACCGATCAACATGACCCGAAAGAAGAGTGTTAGACAAGCTCAACACCCTCAGGTTTGGGAGTGAAGATGATATCGCTTGACACCACTCATTCCCCTGTGCTGATATATTCACACCATCAAGATATATCTCTGTGAGATCTGTGAGGTTGTGAAAGACCATGCTTAAATTAGGGCTCTCAAATGGCCTGTACCACATATTGTAAGATTGAGAAATATCAAGGACAGCCAACCTTGTCAATTGTGAAATCTCAACTGGAATTTTCCCCTCGCCGTCATAATAGCTATATGATAAATTTAAGTACCTCGAGTTTGTAAGCTTTCCAATTGCAGATGGAATGCGAGAGCCATAGCTAAAGATATTATTTGCTAAATTGAGGCTTTGAAGCTGTTGAAGATCAAAAAGACTGCTCGAATTGTCAATCCCACCGGAGATAGATTGGTTGCTAATGTCAAGACCAACAACATGTCCATTAGTACTGCAAGTAACACCCATCCAAGAACAACAGTCGGTACTTGAATTCCATGATATGAACTTGGACGCAGTAGGAGAAAAATCAGGAAATGTAAAGGTTTTTTTGAAATTGAGCAACAACAGTTGCTGGTGTTGAACTGCAGGGATGGTATTAGCACAGGTAATAATGATAGTGGAGATATTGAACATGAATAAGAGGAAGAAATATTGGAGCAAAGCTTTCATTTTCCAGGCACAATTTGCTAAGCCTAAGGAGAAAGTAATAAAGAACAATTGGACAACTGAGAATGGTTTGGGTGGCTTTTATAGGCATGGCCATTGGCCAGCGAATTGGAAAAAAGTAAAAGAATATGGTTGAGGATTGTATTGATCATGATTATATATGCACACAAGAAAATATAATCTGAAAAGATATGATTACGTTCTCTCTAGGGTTGCCATTAAATTCTTTGGGCCATTGTAAATGTAGCGTTAGGCTACGGAGTTGTGATATTGCTGGGTTGACTTGTTGACTTATAGACTTTAAAGTCTTGGTCTTTTTTTTTTTTCTTTTCTTTTTACATTGATAAGTGAATATGAACCCCTATTATTTCTTTCTACATCATGTTTCTATCTACAAAATATATTATTTTTAATTAAACTATCAATATCTCTTTAAAACTTTCCATCATTGAATTGAATATTTTTAGTTACATCAACAAAAAAGATTAAATAAGAATGTAGATAAGTCCCCTGACCAACCCTTGATGAAAAATTTACAATAGCCTCTAAGTTATTAGAAAGGAAGTGGAAATTTGTCACATAAGAGGATACTAATGATATAATTGGATTTATCCATGACATTGTGGAATTGTGAGATTGCTTTTTTTGGGTTGAAGTTGATTTTGAAGTCTTGATTGGTTTGTCGAAATTTATGGATTTTGATGGAGTTTAATTTTTAGATATTTTTATGTAAAATTTTGCGTAACCCATTCTTCAAAATCTTAGAGAGGAATGTGAGATTTGTGAATGCTTAAAATACACTACGAAATCTCTCTAATTTGACGGACTTGGACAGAATTCGTAATATATTTTAAGCATTCTCATATCTCGCCTCTTCTTCTACAATTTTGAGCGAATTCATCTCAAATATCTAGACATGTTACTAAGCCTGTAAGAAAACCAGGTAGGCTACCTTTAACGATGTCACCAATGGTATTTTTGTAAAAAATGAGATAAAAGTCTCAATGCATTCTGATGATCCCAACGAGTTGAGCCAAAAGTGTGGATTTCATAAAGTAAGAAAAATTCTATATAATTATAATAATGATTTTTATATTAAAAAAAACTTGGATTTTCCAAGGCTGGAAGAGGTAATTGTATGGCAAACATGACAATTTTTCATATATTTGAAGAAAAAACTACATGCATGCGGCAAGTACATAATCTAAACTGCAGAGCCGTCTTAATTCAAACTTAGTCCTAAGACGAAAATAAAATGAGGTTTTTCAACTTTAGAATGTAGTTTTTGTATTAGCTAGTGAAATTTGAAAACTTTTCAATTCAATCTAACACCATCTCCACAACAGAGTGAATTTAAGGCACAGTAGATAAGATTTAGGAGAATGCGAGCATGTAGCTCATTGGTTAGTGGGGTTTTGAATTTCCTGTCAGATTTGGGTTTTCTGAATTTGTGTTGAGCCATAGCAGATGCTCGGGGAGGAAAACAGAGGAGAAAGATTGGGGAGGGAGAGGAAGGAAATTGTAATTTAAAATTTAGCTGGTGGAAAAAAATTGTCATTTATAACATTAATGTATAGAATTGTGTATCGATCTTCTCTCCGTGTGAGTGAGAGTCTCTCTCTTACTGAGAGTCCTTCCCACCATTTCTGTGAGTGAGTTCCTCATCATATAAATCCGTTGCCACTGGCCCTCGTTGTGGCCGTGGTCGGAGGAAAAAAAACTTTTCCTTTTGTTATCTGTTTCTTCTCTTCAGATCTTTTGCTAACTTTTCCCCCAGTTTTCTTTCCCGATCTACCCAAAATTTCTCTCCTCTTGGACTCCTATCTTCCCCAACCACTCTCAATTCGATTTGCAGTCAGTTTTCATCGCAATTTGTTGTGACCATTTGAGAAGGTGCGTAGAGCTTCGATGGGTACATCGGGTAGGGTGTTTAAAACATCACCTCCTTCTCTCTGTCTGCTTTCGATGGCAGTGTTGTTCATGGTATTCCCATGGGCTTCTTCCAATTTCTGGCTGAAATCGAGGCGATTGGGGTGGTTTTCGTGGCTGGTTTCTACGGAGCTCCATGTTTGGATTTGGCGATTGTTGGAGGATTGTTTTGGGTTGATAGTGAAACTATTACAGCGGTGGATACTGGGGTCGAGAAGTCTCTTTTGTTATGTTAATAGTGTTGGGCTCTTGGTTGAGCTTTGTTTGGTTAGTTGGGAGGTCCAATTGTGTTTATGATCTTATTTTGTTTGTGGGCCTTTGTTTGTAATATATTGCTATAAATAAAATCTTTTTGGTCGTGGCTAGAATTTCCGCTGAGGATGTTTCCTAGCCGATGAGCACACAGCTCCCCGAGAGGTTGACGCCGGTTGATGCTTTCTGTCGGGCTTCTACTTCACTGGTGGGCTTATCGGGCAAGGCTTGTCGGGCAAAGCTGAAAGAGAAAGACATAGTTAACTTTGAAAGGTGCCTTCGTGGGGCCTTAGGTGTAGGCCTTGAGGCTCACAATCAAGATTAACTTTTAAGTACTCAGGCGTGCCACTGCCAGCATGGCAAATATAAAACGGACGTTGAGTTTTAATTGTATATATACCCGAGAGACTATGTTAGTTATGACATGTGCCTTTGTGGGGCCTTAGGTGTAGGCCTTGAGGCTTCCAGTCAATAACTAACTCAGTACTCGAACATATAATGTTTGTTTCATTGATTGTATGAGTCTTATAACCATTATACTTCTGATTACCTGAGTTCGAAGATCATAATGAATCCAAATAGGTGTCTTTGTAAGGCCTTAGATATAGGCCTTGAGGCTTCCCATCAGAACTCCTTATATACTCAACGTTCTAGCCCGAGGAACAGAATGAATCCAAATAGGTGCCTTTGTAGGGTCTTAGATATAGGCCTTGAGGCTTCCTATCAGAATTCATTCCATACTCAAACGTTCTATGGTAATCATAATATAATAGAAATAAAGCTAAGGGATAGGTCGATTACTTGCGCCCCAAGTAACTTCGGACTTCTTGTTATCAAAGCTTGTCGTGGATGGGTTAAGTCCACATAAGGTTCTTTTTTATGCCTTGAGGCCAAGGACTTTTAAGTGATCAAATCTTACATGCCCGATGGCTTAGAACTTAGATCTAGTTTGAACTGTGAAGACATATTCAAATCGGATTCAAGCACTGAGAAAGCCTTTTAATAGTCATCTTACTAGAAATAACTTGAATACAACTTGAAGTATACAACATATTGCTAGGTTAATGAATGAAAAGACAGAAAGAAAGAGGGTCGGGCAAGGCTGATCGTCTTGCAACTTCCTATATTTGTGGTTTATCAAGAGGGTTGAGAGCTTTAGAAAAGGGGTAAGGAGTAAGTTTACAGAAAGAAATCGATACTACAGTAGGTCCTTGACAAGGTAGCAGAGCTAGTACAAAGGGTTTATCCCGAGAGGGATGAAGGCTTAGGCTGACTACAGCTTAGTTTTTAAGGCAAATCTGGCTTTGAGCAGAGTTTGTGCTTGTATTTGTTTGTTAGATTGAGTGTGTTCAACCCTGATTTCTCTTTCTTCTTTTATAGACACTTTGGCTTGGCCTCCTGTAGCAGTAATCTTGCCTTAATGCAGTTTGAAGGATAGTGACTCATCAGCTATTTACTTGTACTGCCACTGTAAAGTACTTTTGGGCTGATTAGCTGGCTGGTCTATACCACTTGGTCTTTGGGTAGGTGAGCAAGTGGTGAAATGATATGCACCTAGTCGAGAAAGGCCTTTTCTACCTTCTGGGCTTCGGCTGGGCTTCTGGTTTCTCTCCTCTTTTTAGGCCACCTCCATTTTGAGCCCAAAGTTCAAGTTTTAACACAAACAGTGCCCCCTTCAATTGATATTCAGACTGGAATTCCAGGCGCCAATATTGATTGAATAGCTCCCCATTAATACCTATGTTATACCCACGCCTTTCTCTCTCGGGATTTGCATATTTTTCAAAGGTGATCATCACTTTCCTCCAGTTATTCACCCACTCACGAACCCCTTGTATTCTTAGCACAAAATTCTTTTCTAAATCTTTTAAACTCTCCGCTGCTCCTTGCCCGACATCTTCTACCCTTGTCGTCTTCCTTGCCGTTCCTCTTCTAAACTTTATCAAATGGCTTCAGGATCCAGCCGAATCCAACTATCCTATGAATCTGGCGAAGGCATCACCACTTTGCATCGTTTACTCAACGGACTGCATCATCCTCGGGCCGTTTTGTATTCCGAGCTTTTCTTTGAAGTGCATGGGGTACAATCGCTGGGTCCCGCATGGATTTCTCGGGTCCCTGCAATAATAGAGGACAATATGCCCATGGATAACTGGTTTTCCCCAAATCCCTTTTTGGCTAAGTCGGGCATTTCTTCATCCAAGTGGTTGTCATATCGTCGAGGCTTTCCTTTGATGAATGATCCAGCTTGGGCTCAGTGGATAGATGAACTAGAGCCAACTTTTAAGAAGAACTGGATGAATAATGGTATTTACGAATTGATAATGCTCTCAAAAACTACCATTATTCCCAAGCCCGAACTGCTTGCTTCTTCTCTTCTTTTCTGGAATTCGGGCACAAACACTTTTGACTTCCGTATGGGTCTCATGTCTCCGACTATTCTTGATATGGCCCAGGTCTTCGAGCTAAGGCCATCAGGCAGGATAATAGACGTTACTCAAGACTGAGCTCTCTCTTCAATTGTTGAAAGCTCAAGGTCATCTGCCTCTTTCAGTTCCTTGGAATATAATTCTGCAACCTTCAAGAGTTACAGGATTTCCTTCAAGGGCTTCATCCCTTTTGTAAAAGAAAATTTTGGAGCAGGGTCTTCGCATGTTGATAAAGATCAAGAACACATGTATTTCCTTCTATACTGGCTCAACAAACATGTCTTCCCTAATAAGTCTAAATGAGTGAAGGTTGAATGGATCCCCTTGGTGGAAGCCCTTCATAACTTTGATGATGTAGCAACATGTCCATTCCTTTTTTCTCATCTTTACCATCTTCTTTTCGAAATGACTCAAGGTGAGCCATTT